TCGTCCTGGACACTATTTTATCCGTAGTCTCAGTCTCACCACGGAATAAATAATGTGGTGGTGGTGGTCTCTGTCTGACTGAGAAAAGATAAGATGCATGCTCAACTAGTAACTTCCCAGAAGTCTGATTTGTATCTAATCGCATGTACCACTTTTTTGTTCTGCATTTGCCGATAGAAATCGCAAATTCAGATGCTTAGCAGAGGAGGACGAGAATTTCACTCCGAATTCTGTTATGCATCGTATATACCACTTTTCGTTCTATATTTGCAGACAGAAATCGCAAATTCATAGCAGAGGGTGAGGAAGTGAAGAAGCTGACGAATCCAGCGAAATGTATGTATGTGCGAATTTCATTGCGAATTCAGTTACGAATTCTTGGAATGTGGTGGTGGTGACGCAGAATTCTGATTTGTATTCTGTTTCTGCTACTTGTTGACGGTGCAAGTATTCTATGAGTGAGCAAGGACGAGATGAAAGTCTTAGATAACAAGGCGAACTGATTGATGTGAATAAAATTTAGCAGAATTTTGAGTTGACATTGATACATACAAAAGTGACATTTTTCCAGATAAATGGCACTGATCTATTCATAAAAATCTATATGCGAGAGAGAAATTCTCTCTGAGAATTAACTTGTTTGATAAGAATTTTTCTCAGAATTGTGAATATATTAAGGAAATAAATAAAATAAGCCTGCTCCGCTACTGGAACTAAATAGGTCGCTGCTACACAAATTTTATTACACGCCGAGAAGTTCGACATGTCCAAAGGGATATAAAAATAAGATATTTAATACTTTCCCAAATTTTCATGGGTGATCAATTTGTGATTACATGCCATTTTCTGAACTAGTGCTAGACAGTTTCCGTCCAGGATTTTTTCTTCATGGCCAAGGTTGAAATATCCATCGCAAACTTCTTTCTTTCTCAGTGATTTTATTCCTTCATTACTTTTGGCCAACCCACACAAGATCGAGCTGTTTAATATCGGGCGTTTTCTTTCTTCCGTCTGACTGACAGCAGACAGGATAAGCAAGTTTTTTGATAAGGTTCAAAACCACATTTGGATGCATTTATCTATGTGGGTTGCGAACTCAAAGACTAGAGAGCGGCAATTCCAAGGTTTGGACCGATTACGGATTAATTATTATTTGTTAATTACTGGATTGAGATTACGCAGTTTGATACGGAGTGAAAGTGGATTTACATCTTGGATTTATTGAATATATTGTTTAAATGGATTACTTAATCTAATTACCGGATCAATTGCATTACTGCATCGAAATTACATACTTAATTTGCTAAGTTAATGTGAATTACATCTTGGATTCTATGTATGTATCCTGTAATAGATTACAGATTACAACAGATTATAATCAGTATCATCTGATTGCCGATTAGTTTTCGGATTACAATAAATTATGGTTAATTACTCGAAAGCATGACATAGTCGTTTACAAATTAACAGGTAGCACATGTTAATATTCAAAAAAGTTTCAAAAGTAAGCTAAAAATGTAATCGATAATCTGATCAAAATCTAGAAATTACTTTTTAATTCATTCATGGTTTGTACGGATTATTTAAAACTTTCAATTTTTACGGGATTACGGATTACGCTCCCATATAATCAGTAATCCAGGAATAGCCCATCCCTGGTTGCTGTGGAGGATGTACGTACTTATACAGCAAGCCATGTTGGTTAGTGATCTTCCAAACAAATATTTTGATCTGATGACATGAAATGAGATGAGATACAAACTTTAATCTAGTAAAGTTGTCCCCTATGGTAAATAAATACGCGGCTCCCAGTTTCCAATTATTTCTGCCCGGCTGCTCTCCCTTTTCCTTAAAACTAATACCAAATTGTATACCAAAACTTAATCCGGCTCGGTTACAGGGACGAAATAAGGCAACCACAATGTAGGCAAGAAATTCAATGCTATATCCTCCATCCAGATGACATTACCAATTTGCAAGTCTGATCAAATATTGACATTTTGCTACTTTCTTTTGCGGAGAAAGTAGCAGAATAAATTCGCAATGTAACATTTCCGCTATGATATTATTCTTAGTGAGGCAAATACCTGACAACGAAAAAAAATTGCTAAGTATGCATTTACCCCACCCAAAAAAAGTGACATAAGTCGATTTCTCAGCCATTTCTCAACCGATTTTGATGAAATTTTGCACAGATCATTGTTAGGTAATTTAGAAAAGATGTGCTAGTCGACTTGGCGAATTTTTGATTTTTACCCAAGTTATGTGCCAAAATGTGCAAAAATTTTCCTCTGAAAACATATTTATTTTTATGACTCATAAGTGGTGTATCCCAGCATGCTCGCTTATTGAAAATATTTTAGTCAAAGTCATTCCGGACATTTTAAGCGCAAAATGACCTAAATCGGTTGAGAAATAAGGGCGTTATTCAAGTTTGAAAATCAAAAATTTAATAAAAATATTCAAGGTGCCGATAATAACGGCGGTTGTGCAGTAAAAATAATGTCTTTGACAACCAAATTACAAGTTTTAAATAAACAAGGCCCCAAAAAATGGGAAATCTTAGTGAGTCAGCACAATCACAGTTAATAAATAAAATTAGATTGAATAACTTTTGCATCACCGCTCTCGGGATAATTTTTACTGGGTCCACTGTAAATTTAGTTTTGCATAGCATGAACTCTTGCATTCATTAAATTAATTGAGATTACAAGATGACGTTTTTACTATTGAACGAGAAGTTGAATAAATTAATCGATATGAAATATAATTGTGAACTGCGAATTTTAAATTTAGAAAGATTTGAAAATCTACAATTTCGATATATAAATTTAGATATCCTATTAATTCCTATTCAGATGAAATCTCCAGACCCTTTGAGGGGGGAGCAATTATTCTAAATGATTAATTAATGCTTCCAGGAAAAATTATACCGAGAGCGGTGATGAAAAAATTATTCAATCTAATTTTATTTATTAACTGTGATTGCGCTGACTCACTAAGATTTCCCATTTTTTGGGGCCTTGTTTATTTACCATTCCAAATTTAACACGAGTCTACGTGACTCTGATGAATCGTGAGAAATGGGTGAAGAAAACATTGCTAGTAGTGATGAATTAGAGTGCCATCGTTGTCATTAAGGGGAAAGTATCCTGTTCGGAATTTTAATTAAGGTGTGTATTACAATTATACCCACTTTTTGGAAACTTTCGCTACACTTAAGCACTCTGAGTGTACTCACGCGACAACCTTCGCATTCTTGCAAATAGAGCATTGGAACATAACTTGCGTAGTTTCGTAAGATTTCGTAAAACTTTTACTGGAAAACATGTTATTTTTGCGCAAATTTACCCAGAAAATGGACATGTGTTTATTTGCAAAATTATTTCGCAAACTCATTCTCCCCATCACCAGTAAGAGAAATTACAGAAATCCATCGAAACAACACCTACATAGGGGTTTTTAGATGTATATTTGTGAGATTCGTAAAGTGATATTTTGCAAATTTTCTCACAACACAAATTTTGTAAGGTTCGCAAGTTTGGTAAATGAGTTGCGATGCGAAATATGCAAATAAGACGTAAGCACTACGAATATAACACTGCCCCAAGTAGGTAACAAAACGATTTTTCTACGAGGTTAAATACTTATGAAACGAATTTCAACGCACAGATTTTGTACAGAGCAAAATTTACAATGATGCCTTAATATTTCTTTCTCTAGAAGAAAGTAGAAAGTCAAGAATCCTTGAACACAAAACTTTGACGAGGTCCACTCGACAATTTCACCAACTTAACTTTCTCTTTCCAGAAATCATGAATATTCATGATTTCTACAATTTTTGAATGTTCCAATGGAGGAAACAGTTTCATTTCATACTCACCAATTTCTTCAGGGGGTCGCAATTACGGGAAACTTTTAATCTAGAATCTATACTACCTTCTGCCCATAATTGCTTCCTTCGTCGTCTCGTCGTCATCATCATCAACAAACAAAGAAACAACGGACTGTCTCATACTAAATTATTCCTTGCAATTTTAAACTCTCTTTTTATTATTCTTGCGGAAAATAAATAAACCGTAGCAAACGAACGTAACGAAGTAGCTTCAGTCTCACTTTACCCCAACCACACCCACGACAGCGAGGTAGCACTTATTTTCACTATATTCCTCATGTGTAGATTACATTTCTGTAAAAATCTCATTTTACCCCTGACCACACCCCCTGGCGCCAAGGGGAGTGGTCCAATTGACTCCAAAAGTCCACCCCTGGGGTCATTTGCATGATACCGCTTACCGATTTCGATTATCTCGATCCGTTCTCGCGTTACCCTGCAGACGGACAGATAGGCAGACAGACAGACGGACGGACAGATAGGCAGACAGACAGACGGACGGACAAATCTTCCCATAAAGTAGCTGAAGCTACTTAATAAGCCTACGAAGAATGAAGCCTTGTTTGTTGTTTCCAATTCCCTTAATGCATTAACCTATAGAATGCCCAAGAGAAGGTTGCGATCTCAAATGGCGAGGTTTGAGGAGAGATTGGCAAGCACGTCGCGTTTCCTGTCTCATCTCGCAGTGAAACAAAAGGCTGAAAATGTCTGTATCTAACTTCGTCTTGCGGTTTGGTCTCCACAGTTTCATCACAAGTAAAACTTTCACAAAAACCACTGCAAACAGAACCACTGCAATTTTAAAGAGATGAGCAGTGGTGACGTAGAGGCAAATGTTGTATCATTCTCTTTAGCTCAGATTGGGGCAAAGTGAGAATCTAGAGCTATCATTTACTTGCAAAATCAATGTTTCGTTTCTTACGGGTTTGCTACACTTCTTGCAGGTCAAAATACCTGCAAAACAACACTTTCTTCCCATTATTTCCTGCAAATAGTTACTTATTGCACTCGAAACACTGATAGAAATGCAAATCGCAAATAATTGAAGGGATACACACATATTTTCCTGTGCCACGTGTCCCTAAAACATGTTTATCCGCGAAAACAACGGATTACGTTGGCACCCGCCACGTGCAAATACAACACATAACAGAAACATAATGACATTGAACATATTTCACCAAAACAACAGCATCTCCCATTGTGTTCTTTTTCCCCTTGACTCTGAATTCATATTAAGAAAAATCTCTCCCATCCCATCATCATTACAATCTGCTCTGTCTGTCTGCATCCAAAAATATAAAACAAAATAAAACTCGGAGCTGCTGCACATTAAGACGGGCAAAGTAAAAGTACGAAACATTATCATCTCCTGTTACACAAAGTGATGCAACGTAATGTTTCTCTCTCTCTGCTAGGATTTCTACTTGACACGAAGCTAAGCTAAGCCACATCGTGTCTCTAATCTCTGCTTCTTCTTCTCCGTTTAATGACGCACAATACAAGAGTCAAGAACAAGAACAAGTGAGTTCCTTGCTAACAATGCGAGGAGGTTCTCTAACCCCTCCGAAGAAATACGTACAGCATCAACATAACATTAGCATTCTCGTTCATAAGTCAGAAATTGGATGGATGTGAGAGTGAAAGATGAGCAAAAAGTGTTCATTCGACTCCGAGACGCCAATCGAGACGGAACAGCGTTTCCCCGATCCTAAAACTGAGAGTCAGCAGCCCATTACTGCACACAATACAAATCGTCGTCCTCCTCTTTTACCAGCACCAACACCACCACCACCACCATTACGACATTACGAACATTAGTGTCTCCCAGAGTAGACCTCCTGCCTCGCTCCTAAGACGCCGCCGCCTAAGAACCACGTCCACCTCCACCTCGGCAAACAAGGGGATAAAGTAAAATAGAAAAACCAAAAGTCAACATCGTCGTCACATCTGCAACCATTTTGAGTTAAGTTATTTCTTCCATTGACATTTACGAGGGAAGAGTTGAGACTTGGAGAAAGTTGGTGGGTTCCTTGGAGAAAGCGAGACTGCAGAAAAAAACATGATTTGGAGACACCAAGGCTTGATCGACGTTCACATTTTGTACATCTGTCGATCTTCTTCAGCCAGTCTCAAGTTTTGAGCCAATAAAACAAAGCAGCAGAAGAAGAATCGAATTCGAGAAGAGCAGAGCCAACTTTCTTCACGGGCCATTTACTTATTTAGTTGGGTGGAAATGCAAATGAATACAAATTAAGGTACGTACGTAATCTAATCTAATTAATTAATTAGCTGCATATTTACATACTCACAAAAAGAGGTCAAATGTGGCCGACCTTTAACATATCTTGATGTATATATTTTACGTAATAATTCTTATACATATGCATATTCACATGAATAAAGTAAGCAAGCCCGCAGCAGGTGTGCCTCTTTTCTTCCTTTGTGCACTTTTATGTAGAAAGGAAAAAAAGAAGTGTAAAATATGGATATTGCATTTGTAGAAGAGAACAACGATACACTTTGTCCTGTCATGTCATGCCGTGCCGGGGGACATAATTCTTTACGCGTCTGTTTCCTAAATAACAGAGACCGACCTTCCTGTCTCAACTTTTGGTCGTTGTTCGGCTCATTCTTCTTCTTCGTGTCAAGTAAAAATCTACAACGAGCGATAAAACTATGTGCAATGTCGACAGGAAAAAAAAAAAACTGATGAGATTTCCTTCGCAGAGATTAAAGAGATTTAAAATGTGTTGTGAGTACTGTAAATAAACACGAGCGAAGAATTGTGCAGGCAGAGGCAGAGGGCTTACTTACTTTCGCTGGTGTAATAACATTTCCGTCAATTTCTGCATTATTGGCACACACCCACCGAGGAGACCAGGCAGATATCCATCCATCCATCCACCAAGGCTACGACATGGCGGAATGTTTTCTAAACTTTATTGCCTTCTTTCACAAACAGTCGTGAGATTGAGATGAACCTGGTTTCATTTTTGGGTTTGAGACGACGACGGGGACGACGAGATTTCTTCGGTACAATGATATTTTGAGATTCATTGGTCCGCAGTGTTTCGGGATTGCAAGAAATAAGGGGGAGAAAGTGGTTTCTTGAGGGTATTTTGACCTGCAAGAAATGCAAGGCGCAAGAACCGACGCCCCGGGGCTAGTATTCATACAGGGCGTGGCTAGACGGTGCATATTTCTCGCAGTTTCTAGCACCTCGCATTTCTTGCGTTTTTTACTTTGCAATGCAAGAAATGTAGCAAACCCACAAAAAATAACGGTCAGAAAGTGGTTTTTTGCAGCTATTTTGACCAGCAAGGAGTATGAAATTGTTTCCCACCGTTATACTTGATATGACTATATGGCGCATATTTCTCCCACTTTCTCGCAGTTTCTAGCACCTCGTATGTCTTGCATTTCTTACTTCGCACTGCAAGAAACGTAGAAAACCCGTAAGACACGAAACACTCCGATTTCTTCAATTCAATAATATTCTGCGACTCATTGGTCTGATTTGTATGCTGTTTCCAATAGGAAATGTCATGCCAGGATCAAAAAAACATGGACGAATTCACATCCTGCAAGGTTGGACAATGAGCAAAATCACCCCATTATGTAACACCAACCAGCCAATGACGCAGTAAAGATGTCTGCCTGCATACGATGTAAATTCCGCCAGTATTTTGGTCCGTAAAAGATATCAGGTCATGAGAATTTCCTCCTTGATCTTATTGCCCGTGTCCCTTGATTTATGGAGCATGTAGCCACCAATCCGGCCTCAAGCTGTTTGGTCATTCAGCTCAAGAATGAATCGATAACGAAATTTCAAAGTTTCTGCACCTGTAAAATTCCACAAACATATTGCAAACTGTAAATAGAAAATGGATAACAAAATTTCATAGGAAGTTCAAGTTTCCTTGATGTCTGTCTGGAAAATAAGTAGGCATCATAATAAAACTGGTCGATTTATCATAACGAATTACTTACGGGAATCAAAGGGAAAAGCTGATTTGCTTTGCTCTTCTCATCTCCAGATCAGGAAGGAGAAGGTTACCGCGACGACTAAACAGTGGCCGCGAAAGCTGTGGGGACATTAACATTGTGGGATAGGGGAGGGAGGGGTTTGCATAACATGGGCGGATGGTGGGGACATCGAACAACCCTGGAGACATTGTCCCCCTGTCCCCACGCTTCCGCGGCCACTGTGCCTAAACCCTCATCCCATTATGGTTAAGAAAGTTGGAGAAAGCGGATGAGGAAGAAAGAACGCCGGAAGAAATGGTGATCTTCTTCGTGTTAGCAGAACTTTCTTTGAGTGGGTAATCACTAGATGTGCATAAGTTGACGAGATTTTAATGGTCGTTTTTCCGATCTACATGGCCATTTACCTACTCTGATACAGTGAAAGCATCCCCACAATGGCTTCGGTTTCGTAACGCTACTTACTTTTTGTTACACAGTTTGAGATGAGAAATACAATACAAACTCGTCAAAATTGTGTAATTTGTTTCTAGTAAAAGACACAAAGTTTCTGAATGTGGCGAAAGCAATGAGAATATTTTGTAAACAGTTATGGGAAAATAATAATTATAGCTCAGCTTTGGGTGGGAGTTAGTTAGCAGGGAAAAAGAATCCCCAAAATTGACTTTGATTTTGTTAGTTACACAATTCGTGACAAATACATAAGTACAAACTCGTAAAAATTGTTTCCAATCTGAAAGTTTCTGAATGTGGCGAAATTAATGAAAATGTTATGTGTTAATTATAGTTCGGCTTTAGCAGTACGTCAGCAAGGGAAAAGAATCCCCAAAATTGACCATAATACTTGTTACACAATTCTTTGCAAATAAATATAAAAACTTATGCAATTTATATCTTATAAAAGACACAAAGTTTCAAAAGGTGGCAAAATCCGGGAAAATATAGCCGCATAATTAGTCTAGCGTCAAATTTTGGGATTTCATTTCGTATTTAATTTACTACACGGTTCAATGGCGGACATAATGCCGCCTGGCTGGGGTCAGGTCGCCCGCTGGGTAATAAAATAATACGGATTTGTCTTGTGTGTGGCACGGAAGAAAGGAAGGTCGGTGACAGGACGGAAAATAAGCAAGGGAAGCCAAGCACCCAATTCCACCAACCTACGTATTTATGTACACAGTGACAATGGAGGTCTCCCAGCGTATGCGATCCGATTTCGAGCAAACTAGTGCCAATCGATGGCAAATTTGATTGGTAAGAAATTTGCAAAAGACGCGATCTCCCAATGGGCACGTTTGGCGGAGATATTTGCATCCGAAGAGGAGAAAACGCGCCTTAAAGTCGACAAATTTTACACTTTCCGAATTTACTGCGCGTTTTCTCCTCTTTCGATGCAAATATTTCTGTCAAACGTGCCCATTAGCAGATGGTGTCTTTCGCAAATTTCATACCCATTAAGTTTGCAATCTATTGGCACTAGTTTGCTCAAAATCGGAGAGCACACGCTGGGCGACCTCCATTCTGAGAAGGGAAATATGGAGAAAAATGGTCTCCTGAAAGATCAAAGGGTAACTTTTTTTTACCTTCGCCAAACGCCAAAGGCTAACCCAACGAGGCGAAAAAACGGGTTGATTTCCTCCTTTCAATTTCAATCGAGTAAAGAATAACGTGCCTTATTTTATTCAGGTATTTTTTAAAAATTCAGCTCAAAGAGGACAATAATTGAATTGAGCGAGTCCCGTGGGAATGCCAATTTCCTTAAAACAACAGACGACACGCGCTCCTCTTATTACGGATGTAAATCCTTGATTGTTATCCGACTTTGGCAGCTGTTGATTGGCGGCTGTTGACCGATTTCGGGGCAAAATTTGCTTTCACCACCGTGACAAATTTGTCAACTAACTGTAAAGCTAAACCACAAGGTGGGTTCAAGAGAATACTTAATTCAGTGTTTAGTTTCTTGTGGATTTGCTGCATTTCTTGCACTGCAAAGCAAGAAAGGCTAGAAATGCGAGGTGCAAGAATTATGCACCCTAAAACCACGCGCCGTATGAAGTCCAGCGGCGGGGCGTAGTTTCTTGCGCCGTGCATTTCTTGCAGGTCAAAATAGCCGCAAGTTCTTGCCTTTATTTCTTCCAAGTGGTTACTTTCACCCGAAGCGCTGATCTTTATATAGATTTTGTTACGAGAGCCGATAACAAAGTTTGACTTGTGTATAATTATATCGCCCACGCTCTCAATAGATGTGGAACGTAGGGACATAAGTACAAAGGGGCCACGTGGTGCGGTTTAGTATGTTGCTAAAATTATGTATGTAAATCCTGTTTTCTCCAGTTGTGCAGTTTGCTTATTTAGAATTAAGGATAACTGTCGGCTTCCTCCTTTAAGAGGGAGGGAGACCTGATTACGGATAGTCCAGAGAGTGAAAGTTTGCGGGGGATGATGGCACAGGATACTTATCTTATTCTCAAGTGAAAGTCCGCCTTTGGCAGGATTGGTATTGACCGATTTCATGGCTAAACTTGCTACTTTCACAAAACTAACTGTACTACCAAGCTGTAAGGAATCCGCTACTAGAGCGGATAACAAGGTTTGACCTGTGTATAATTATATCGCCCACACTCTCAAGAAATGTGGAACGTAGGTACAAAGGAGCCACGTGGCGCGGTTGTTGCTATGTAAAATTATGTATGCAAATTTTGGTTATCTCTAGTTTAGAATTAAGATAATTCTTGACTTCCTCCTTAAAGACTTGATTATTTTAGAGAGTGAAAATTTTACAGGGATAATTTATCTTATTCTCTACAAGTTACAAGTGAAAGACAAGCGGCACATTTAATTTAGGTACTTATTTATGTAGCTGTGCGAATCGAGGTATTTTTAATTTAATCCTTGTCGACATGCAACTCTGGGGAGACATTTATACAACTATTTGCATCCAGGAATGTGCCCTTTTAGCGCATCCGACTAGAAAAGTAAAAAGCAAATGGATATTTTCACTCTTAACTTCATCACGACACCAATCTCATCTCGGAAAAGAATACAATTGCAAAATACTGAATACACAGAAATGTTGACGGGACACTTTCCATTATCAAAGTCAAGAGAAAGCGGTGGCAAAAGTTTTCTTTCTTTCCCGGTGACAGGTTCACGTTGACACGAACGGCATATGTCTATGTAGATATGCACATATGTAAGTGGAGACACGACCGGATATGTACTTCACCCTGTCATTGTTTTGTTAGCCCTATCCTTCAAACTAGGCTTTACT